CCCCGGGGGGGAGGGGCGACCCCGGGCCCGGGGAGGGCAGCAGCCCCTGCAACCGCCTGCCTGGCCCTGGTCCGCTCCGCGGCCATCACTAACGCCCTCCTGTGCTAATTGATATGAGCCCTTTACAGCTGTTCTTTATTACTTCACATTTTTGCACGCTTACCGGTTCCGTCAGCAGGTACCAGCAACCTCATCCACAGTTGAAGATTCCAGTATGTCAGAAGGCGGCAGCTCAGTGTTTTCTAACAGCCGAGTCAAAGTTCGTCACCTATCCTTATGTTAAACTGCAGCGTCCCATTTCAGTCCCCACAATTAGAATCTTGTTTCTGAGTTAAAGTTTTAAAGACTTTTGTTTTTCATGCACTTACGCTGGGCTAATGATGTCCTTTCCCTTCCCTCCTATCAGTTATTCTCCAGTGAGTCTACAGCAATCTGTCCTAAACAAAACTTTTTTTTTTTTTAATACATTCCTGTCCTTCCTTGTTTGCCACTGGATACTTTATCAATATTCCATGATGGTTCCAAACCCCAGGAACACAGTCCCTCTTTACTGCCAATGTTGGGCCACCTCGACCACCTTTTTAGCCAAATCCTTAAGCAGAATCACCAACAATCATGTGTATCACCAAAGCTTTGCATTGCCTTCGAATTTCATCTACCAAGGAGATAACCACTGACTAGCGGTGGGTAGCTTTTTCTAACTTGAGTCATTTTGCTGTGGCTAAGCAGAAGTGTTACTGATTTGAACATGCGTATTGGGTTTGCGTGGCAAGGTTTTGGTACCGGGGTGGCTTCTGTGAGAAGCTGCTGGAAGCTTCCCCCATGTCCGACAGAGCCAACGCCAGCCGGCTCCAAGACGGACCCGCCGCTGGCCAAGGCCGAGCCCATCAGTGACGGTGGGAGTGCCTTGGGAGAACAGATTTAAGAACAGGAAAAAACTGCACGAGGGCAACTTCAGCCAGGAGGGAGGAGTGAGAATATCTGAGAGAACCAACCCTGCAGACGCCCAGGTCAGTGCAGAAGGAGGGCAGGAGGTGCTCCAGGCGCCAGAGCAGAGATTCCCCTGCAGCCCCTGGTGGGGAAGACCATGGTGAGACAGGCTGTCCCCCTGCAGCCCAGGGAGGTCCACGGGGGAGCAGATCTCCACCTGCAGCCTGGGGAGGACCCCACGCCGGAGCAGGGGGATGCCCGAAGGAGGCTGCGACCCCGTGGGAACCCCGCGCTGGAGCAGGGTCCTGGCAGGACCTAAGGACCCATGGAGAGAGGAGCCCAGGCTGGAGCAGGTTTTCTGGCAGGACCTGTGACCCCGCAGGGGACCCACGCTGGAGCAGGCTGTGCCTGAGGGATGCAGCCCGTGGGAAGGACCCACATTGGAGAAATTCGTGGAGGACTGTCTCCCATGGGAGGGACCCCATTGTGGAGCAGGGGAAGAGTGTGAGGAGTCCTGCCCCTGAGGAGGAAGGAGCGGCAGAGACAACCTGTGATGAACTGACCCCAACCCCCATCCCCCATCCCCCTGTGCTGCTGTGGGGGGTAAGTAAAGAATCCGGAGTGAAGCTGTGCCCGGGAAGAAGGGAGGTGTGGGGGAAAGGTGTTTGAAGATTTGGTTTTATTTCTTATTCCCCTACTCTGGTTTGATTGGCAATAAATTAAGTTAGTTTTCCCCAAGTCAAGTGTGTTTTGCCCGTGTTGGTAATTAGTTGAGTGATCTCTCCCTGTCCTTCTCTCGACGCACGAGCCTTTTGTTGTATTTTCTCTCCCCTGTCCAGTTGAGGAGGGGAGTAACAGAGCAGCTGCGTGGTGCTTAGCTGCTGGCTGGGGTTAAACCATGACAACATGAGATATCAAAGTTTGAAAGTGATTGTAAATTTGGTAGCTTTATTGATGGAATTGTTCTTGCCAAGATTCTGCAGGTAGGTGAGTTTAACAAGAAATATATTTTTAGTTGGATAGGCAAGTTGAAATATAAGCAACAGCATTAAAAATTATTTGTCTAAAATGGGAAGGTCATTTGTGACATTTGAGGCAATTGATTTGCCATAAAAATTGAATTTCACTGGCTCAATGACATAAAAAGGCCATCAAACCTACACAACCATTATGTGTGCCTAGACAACACCAAAAATGAGTGCCATGAGGTGGGAAACATTTCAATGCCATCACTAACAGTCCTAAAGAATACCCAAATGATCATACTTGGGAGTTTTAAGATGGGTTGTTTGGCACTTGGGCTGCAGATTCACAGGCACCCAATTCCATCGTTTCTCCACCAAAAGGTCTGCATCTCTACTGTCTCTCAGGAGCATGTACTTCTCCCTCCCTCTTGCTCACGGGACGCTTCACCGAGCCACACTGCCTTACTAATGTAATAGAAAACCATCCAAATTGTTGGCCAAGCAACTTGCGGTCTGAGCAAGTTAAAGCTCAGGGAGAAGTCCGACAAGCACGAGGCCAAACCAAGGCAAGCGCCAGGAGTGCACGGCCACAAAGTGGAAAGAAGGGAGAGGCAGAGGTGAGCTGTGAGGGATTTCCCCCTTTCACTGGTGGAGCTTCTTAATTTGGCTTACCTTCTCATGGGAACTGCAGTTTTGGCAGCTTGGAGAAATATCATTATGGTTCCTATAAGGAAAAAAAACAAGTGTTATCCTATTACTGATAATAAGTGCCGATAACCAGCTGATCATCTGGAACGGCTTTCCAGCAAGCTGAAAACTGAATGCATCTCTGATCGAAGCACTCCTATAGTACTGACTACATCACTATGCAGCAAATTCATATTCACGATATTAACATAGCTTCAGCCACTTGTGGGAGATTGTTGAGCTGATCATCATCAAATAAAGATTCAAGTATTACTAGCTTCACTGTCTAACAGAGAGCATATTGCACCTGTTATAATAATTTAAGCTGATGATTCAAGTACTGGAGACAACAGAGTATCACTAGAACCTAAATTTCATGCCAAGTAAAGTTACAAGAACAAGAAAATTTCAAATCAGACTGAATTTTTAGGATACAAGGTGCGCAATGCAATGCCTCAGCTTTGTTAAACACAAAACACCTATGGTTTTACATGAACGTCTGTGTATGTGCTGCATGCAGCTAAGAAGTAAAAGAAGTATAAAAGTTGTTTACTACATGGCTAAACAAGCACTGGGAGCAAAGCTCCATGTCACGGTGGGCATGAAAACTTCAAGTATTTCAGCAGGCTGCAGACTAAGGTAATTTCAAAACATCTTAGGAATGCTTGAAAACCTCCCTCAACCTTAAAGCCCATCTCATAGTGAAGACTGGCAACAGTCTTAAATGAACAGGAAAAAAAGAAAAAAAAAAAAGAAAAGTCCTTGTTGTCTCACTGAACTGGGCATCTCTTGCTTCCGATGAGGCCCCACAGCTGCTCATCCAGGATGGCCAGAAACTATGAAACGGATGTCTCAAGGCAAGGCAGCAGCCAGCTGCAATCTTGGCAGACACAAACATTTGAGTCTTTCTCTTCCCTCTCTATATTATTATACAGAATAAGATAATTCCTTGGGGATTCAAGAACAGGAACTGGGCAAATAGCTTATATTAACAAACCTTACTATTGTGACAAGGAACCAGAGTTTATGCATCAAGACTGCCTACACAGAGGGCGGCAAGAGCCAGTTCACCTTTCGGGGAATTAAAGCACCGTTCCTGGAATGGCAGAAGCATCCAACTTTGAAGGGAAGTGAAAGTATAAAATAATATCGTTGTTATCCCTCTTCTTACCATTCTGCCCAACTTGTCAAGCCAGCTCCACAGCCTCTGTGCCCCAGTTAATACAGGCAAGGTAAAAAGCCCAAACAATGTCATTTTGTAAAATACTAACAATTGAAACAACCACCCTGCAGGTTCAGGTACACAACTCCTATGGCCACAGAATGACTGACAAGCAGACAAATAGCACGTTACAAGGACATGCTTCACGGCAAAACCTTAATTCTGTCAACTTAGTGTCATAATAGGAAAGACTGCCTCTAAAAAGCATCTGCCCTGGCAGGAATTAAGCACCAACAGTGCTAAAGCCTATGGGCAAAATCAAACTGACACAATGAAGCACAAAAGTTGCCACAAACAATAGAGTGTAGTGAATAAATATATATACACACAGCCCTCTGGTTGTTACTATTGTGAAAAATTAGCCTAATTTCTCACCAAAGAAATGACAAAACTGACATTTAGTCTTTCAGTGCTAACTGAAACCCCACCATCGCAGACAATGGAATAAGTACTTGAAGCTATCCAGCAACAGGGAGTTAAATTCAGAGTAAACGCAGAGTGATACGCTCACAGACCTACACTTTGACTGTTGAATCATGCCAATCAGTCTGTTTGAACATCCAAATGCTCCTGACAAATCGCTCACAGGTAATCCCTAATTGCCATCCACAGTATTTGAAAAACCATTTTACATAGACAATTATATCAAGAAAGCAATTCTACAGGTAACAAACATAGGAATGAATTAAATTTTAGGCATAAGCAACTACCCTGAATCACCAACTACCCTGATTTGACAACTCTGAAATATTTGAAGTTGCCAGCTGTTCTTTATGAAATAGTTTAGAAATTCAACTGTAACCTGATCAAGTCAGTCTCCAAAAACATAAGAGCCATCAGAAGGAAACCTCTCAGTTCAACTTGATTAATACTAGCCAGATTTAATGAAAATAATCAGATAAGATTGCTTTCAAATGTAATGTCTAGTTCCACACTTGTCTTCAGGAACACAGAAAAAGCATAAAAATAATCCTACTGAAAAAACAACCTTACTAAATTTAGGCACAAAGTAAGGCATAAACAATATGCCTTAAGCTTGTTGTCTAAGCATACATTTGTGAAGAAAAGAATGTATATCTTGATTTTACTTGCAACC